ATATTTGATATATATTGCTAAAAAAAAAAAAAAAAAATACATACCAAATTTCGAACAATCAGCTCCTAATAGACGTAAATAATGAATTGCATCATGTATAGGAACATATGCTCTCAAAGACATTGTACCTCGCCATCCTACCATTTGTAGTTTTAATGGATTTTCAGTTCCTTCTTCTTCATACATAAGTATACAACTTCCAGTTGCTAAGATAATACATACGAATCAGTATTTAGGAATAAAATTAGAAATAATAAAAAATTACAATTAGTGATAAAATTTACAATTAATATTTAGTTCAATGACAAAAAATGTTACCAAAGTTTTGTAACCGTTCTTGTGTTTCTGGATTAAGCTTCACAATTTCAGGTGGTGTATTTGGATTATTGTTTTGTAATAACATTATCAGATCATCTTTAGATATTCTGATTTTCCTACTATTACCAATATACTTAATAATAACTTGTATTCCTTCTTGTGCAAGTCGAAATGGACAATCCATATTCTTATTATCACAACGTACAAATGATTTAACACCAGTATTTATCAATTTTATTTGATCTTCATTAGACAATACAACATTACGTATTTCAGGTGATGTGTAATAAATGTTTTTCTTCTTTCTACCAATACATCGTACCAACAAACACCGAGGATCCAAATCGTCAGATATATCGTAAAATTTTCTGAAAATTTTTTTTCGATATTAAGAATCAATTAATAATAATAAATAAAATTAATAATAATTAATAAATAAAACATTATAAAAAAATGTTCACTTACTTAATGGATAACCACACATCTTCATCCTCTTTAAAATAAACAAATGGATCTTCTTTAAATCCAGAAGCAATTCTTCTACGTTTTTGTTTAGCAATTCGTAACCTGTTCATTTCATCAAACGTTTTGGTAGCATGAACATTTTTCTTTGCTTCTTCTTCTTCTAAACTTAATTCATTATTACTCTCTTGACAATTAAAATTCTGGATTGATTCGTCTTTAATATGTGATACACGTTCCCAAGGTAAATGATTTACCTTTTCCAAAACAGCCACAAAAAAACCTCCCGTATCTTGATGATGTGGTAATATTCTCATACTATATCATTAAAAACTTATTATCATGCGTTTAAATCAAAAACATTAATAAGAAAATCTATTTCTATTTACCATCTTTCAAAGTGAAATTTAGCTGCATCCTCAGGTTTTGGTGGAAACATTTTCGGACGAACTTGTGTTTGCCATTGTTCAGGTACATCTTCCCATGATTCATAATATTGTAAATCTTTTGATGCTGGTAACCAATGTGATATACCTAAAAAAAATATTCATTAATTTTTTTAGAAAAAGAGAAATTTTAAATAATAAAAATATTAATATAAATGTAGTAAAAGTAGTAATATGTAAAATATACAATACCTGGATCACATACTAATCCAGGTACTAAATGTCTGCAATCAACTAATTGCACAGAATCTTGTGTTTCAACAAGAATCCTATGAAGTACAGCTTCATTTTCTATTGGATTTAGCGAACAAGTGGAATATACCATTTTTCCTCCAACTGTTAAAAGTTCTAAACCTCTTCTTACTATTCTAAATTGAATTCTTTAAATTCATAGATATAAATTATTTTTATCTATTGAATTATCATAATTGTTATATTAATATAAATACAAATCATGTAAAATAATATTTACCCATGAAGATTGTTACCATTTGCTGGACTCCATTTACACCAAATATCTGGATTTTTCCTCATTGTACCATCGCCACTACATGGTACATCAGCAAGTATTCTATCAAATCTATAACAAAATATAAAAATCATTAAAATCTTTAATGAAAATAGAAATATTTTATTCCATGTAATTTACTGACTTTAATAGTTCTTTTGTACCATCTGGTTTAGTAGTAGTAAAATTAGGCAATATTGTAGCATCATGATTTGTAATTAAAACAATTGGACTGTTTAATCTTTTCGATTGATGTACAAGCATGTAACATCGATTATTATCAAGATCATTAGCTATTACAAAACCTTCTATAAAAGATAAAGATAAATGAAATTTGCATCATTTGTTTATAAATATTTTAAATTTCATTTTAATACCTGGAAGTGAATTTCCTTCTTCGGTGTGTATCATTTCAATAAGTTGAGCTGTTTTTGATCCTGGTGCTGCACACATATCTAAAACCTATATTAAAATTATTTCTTTTTTAACTTCAAAATTAAATTTATTACAATATTAAAATTACCTTATGGGATGGTTTTACATCTAATACCAAAGGTGGTACCATACTAACTACTTCTTGTCTACTAATATTTCCACTTTCTGTTTCAACAATTAAAAAATTATGTAATCTAAAATAAGCTTCAGATCTTCTAATATCTTTTCTAGTTAATTGTAATTGCCAAGCTAATCCATCAGGATAAAATGGTAAACAATGTAATATATCCTTAGTCTCCTCATTATTTTTAGAGTCATCTTCCATATGCATATTTAAAATTTCCTTAAAAAAATCTCCTTTAATAGTTTCCATTAATGCTTTAGCTTCTACTTTTGAACCTGTAATTCTAAATGCTACTGGAAGATTTTTTCTCATAGTATTGATAAAAGAATCCCATTGTTCTTCAGGAACAATTTTTTGAGTTTTGTAATAATTTTCAAAATCCTTATTTTCCCTGATAATATCTGCATAATTATGACGTGGTGCAATATCCCATTCATCTTTTTTCTGTTAAAGAAAATATTAAAAAATATTAAAAAATATTAAAAAATTTATATATTATTACATATAAACAACAAATTTTTTTAATAATTAAATTTTATTTATTTTTAATATGTACACTATTGATAAAGCTATATATAATAATAAACATAACCGTAAATTGTAACCGGTATTATTTTTTTCAACAATTAATGTTCGTACCTTTTGTTTTTCACGACGTTTTTCTGCGAAATTTTTTTTTTGCTTATGTTTTCGGTTTCTTGCCATTGTTGTATCTAGAAAAACTATATAATATCGGTCACTCAATCACTTAACACGTGTTCCCTAAGTAGCAACAAATAATGACAAGATTACTACCACGGACAATATATAGAATAGATCTATCACTCAATATTTTTTATCCTATATTTTAAAGAAGTTCTAAAGACATTTAAAGTTCCTTCATCATTTTAATATTTTTAATATTACTGATTCGATTTAGAATAATTGCAATAACGATTAAAATTGAAGCTAAATTTAAATATTATAAAAAATTTTTAATATTGTTTATTTTATATTATATTTTATACACTATATATATTTTATGTTTTTATATTTCATGATATATTTTATATGAATTTTTATATTTTCCATTTATATTTTAAATATATTTTTATATCTTTATATTTTTCATCTATTTTTTTATCACTTTTTCTTTCAATAAATTTTTTTTCCACGATTTTTGACACAGCATTCTGCCATTTTTTTATTTGAATATACTTGCATACAAATTACTCTATAATACTTCTCAAACAATCTAATATTATAGAATTTTTATTGCGTTTATTCTTTTTATATTATAAATTTCTAAATAAGGGCATTCGGCTGATAATTAAATATCTATTAAAAAGTTTTGGAAATTAGAGCCATCTCGCGTTTGAATTATCGAAATTCCGACTTGTTACTAGAATAGCAGAATATACGAGAAAGTATTCCAAGTCATAAGGAAAATAACATTATGCGAAAATAGAGAATCTCCTATCATTTCGAGAACTACATGAAAAATTCATTAATAATTTATTTTCTAATAAAAATTGACATTTTTGAAATCACATTTTGAAACTAGGCAAGTTTCTCGTATCAACTTAAAATTCTATTAATTAATCATTAACTATTAATGCTTCATTCTAACATTGATGTATTGAAAATTTGTTAATTATTCGTTTTTTCTGAAAATTTCTTTTAAAGTTTCATTTTAAAGCTAAAACTTCAGCTAAATTTCTCATATCAATTTTAATACAAAATTATTAATTCCTTTTCCTGATTAACAATCTTAAAAATCTTTAATCTAATAATTCTTGAAATAATTTTAAATTCATAAACTTTCAATTTTAGAATTATTGTTTTAATAAATATATGTCCTTTTTCTCTCAAGATGATAGATATAAATACAAACAACAAATGAACAGTAGATATATTAAAG